TTCCTGTGGATCGTGCTCAAAACCGGATCATGGTCATGGCAAAACCGGTTTGCACACCTATCGGCACACAAATTGTAGTTACACACGGTCAACTCACCCGAATCGACGCCAGAAGGTCTGGCGGCGGAGAAGCTGTCGCACCACCACCGCCAGCGGGCTTGCCGGCGCTCTTTTTGGACCCGCCTCCGAAAAAGCCCCCCCCTGAAAATAGCGAAACGCCGTTCCAATCAACAAAAGCAAATGTGGAGCATCAGGGGAGAGAGGGCGCGGCGTGCTAGTGATGCATTGCAAATGCATCCAATCCAAAAATAAAAGGGGCCACCACCGCCGCCCTCATGAAAACACACACCGCACTGACAGCCAATCACACAAGCTTACAGCAACAGCAAAAAAAGGCGGCATTCGGCGGCGTCACGCCACAGGCAAGCAAGCCCCCGCCGCCCCCGTCGATCTACCGTACTGTATGCAGAACTGCGCAAGCTCGATGCCGCCCAATCTCCCTCAAAGTTCTGCGGAGCATCTCCTGTCGAACGGTCATGTCAACCCATACTTGGCGCCTACCTGAAGGCTTCGATGGCAGCGGCGGAGCCGCCTTCGGGATCGCTGGTGCCGCCGTTGGTCGATCCCAGGTCGTCTGGTTCGTTGTGGCGTTGTGAAAATATTCCTGTGGCGACAAAGTATGGGTCGCCACCAGAGGGTAGCGCGCGCGCGTAGGCAGGGGGGGGGGTCTGTTCGATCCGTCCACGTTGTGTTCGACCAAAAAAAAAATACTCCCACGTACAACAAAATGAAACGAGGAAAATCTTCATGTGCATGTGCATATTTGCTCGCGGTGTATGTGTGCACCGACAAGCTGTGCTGGTGTTAGGCAAGGTTGCTTGCCGGCACAGCAACATGTGAACCGACAACCTGTACTCGTGCTAGCAACGTCGTTTGATGGCACAAGAACATAGTTTGCCAGGAATACTGCTGTTGGCCGCGGAAATTGTGGCACACCTTGGTGCAATCCACAAGCACAGCAATCTCCATCGTGGTGGATACGTACGCACTCGATTGATTTGGTGGGCGGATACCGCAGCAAATTCCACGGTTAATACGAGTGTTGTGGTGCGCACTACTTTGTACTGTAGTACTGCTGTAGGTTGGCTTGGTGGGCGTCAGTAGCACCGACAACATCTCGCGTGCGATGTACACGAGCGCAATGTGTGCATGTATCTTACCATCGCTTTGCGCACCACTGCTGAGCCGACATCCGGCATGACTTTTTTCAGAGAGAGAGAGAGAGGGGGAGTAAGAATGAGAATGGATAGGGCCAGACCCCAAACGTTGCGGCAGCCTACGGGGAGATGGCCGTTCACATAAGCACGTGTGCTACATACACAGCAGTATGTATTTATACTTACTTCCCCTGCATGTACATGCTGCAGGGATTGCAGGTGTACCTCCTCGGGCTTGCGTACCCTTTTCTTGCTAATAGTGTGAGTGTGCTTTCATATCTTGTGATGGCTCTAGCATTTTTGTGACCACGGACTGAGCCTTTGCTAGATTTTGGGATTAGCAACTGACACGAGTTTAATGTGAAGAAAAACAGCAACAACAACATAATTAGAACCCGGTGTACATGCCACACATGACATGTACGCTACCCTCTGACCCGATTCCTACAACGCGAATGAGAGGCCGCGGCGGCCCAGGGTACCAACGCGTCCCCGTATACAAAAAACGCTTCCAAAGGGCGGCCCTGCTTAGCTCCCACCCGCTGTCGGGCCGAGCAAACAGGATATTTCGCGACAGAGCGAGAGGTGCGAAAAATCACAGAATGGTCCGCGTCCCTCTCTTGTGAGCAAAAGTCAGATAATAGTTCTTCTGTTCTTCCAACCCTCCTTGCCTCTCTCCAATGGCTCGCGGATCTCTCAAAACCCGCGTAGGCGGCTATGGTTTTGCCAGCCACACAACCAGGCCGTCCCCTGTCCAAATATGTATGCACATGGGCCACTCTGTATGCAGCCCGTGGGCCCGTGGGGCAAAGCCGGTTAACGGAAAAGCGAACTTGCGTTGGTTTCTAGGTCGAGGCGGAAAACATAAAATACATCGGGTGAATTGCCATCAATCACCCATCTGGGTTCCTGCTGCAGCACCCACCGTGCCCCGTGACACCTCACAACGGACGCCCCCGATCTCGGGCATGCCCCCCGCGGTAAAGAATATGACACCTCGATTCCTAGGTGGTCGTATCGATCACAGACAGGCGATTTTTCTCCGCTCAACAAAAGGCTGTGCTCTGCTGAATAAAACAGCAAAACAGCACCAACACACCGAATGCTCGCACGTTTTCACCGGCTTCGTACTGACCTTCCCGTCCGCAGCCTTGTAGGCTGTCCAACCTGGAGCGAGCGACATGTCTCCTCGTCTCCCCAGCCAGTTTTTTGTGTTGATGTTGGCGGAGGTTGCAATATAATGGTACCGACAAGCGAGCGGATGCCACGCTGTGCCCTCTGCTCTGCCGAACAGCGGTGCACGAAGGGGGCACCAAACAGGAGAAAGAGGCACATACCCTCATTTTCTTCGTCTCTGTTGCGATGCCTCTAGAGCTCGTCGAAAGCCAGCAGCCCAGCCGCAACAAATCACCAGTCACTACACCCAAGCAAGCCAGGCGGGCAAGGATCTCTGAAGGGGTTGCGGTTGTTATATTGAGGTACTTGCTGTCTTTACGGCGCGGAGAGCAAGACTCGTAGGGAGAAGCAACGACAACAAATAGACAGGCCTTCACTTTTCCCCCTCCGACAATAGTAGTAGCACACAAGGAAGGCAATTCAGACAAGACACACCGACCGCTGCTCCGGCGAAGAGTATGGCGGACGTGAAGGTTGAGGAGAAGGTGCCCGTGACGGAGGTTCTCGAAGAAGATGACGAGTTCGAGGTGAAATGGGCTTGTGAATGAGTGACAGTTGTAGAGCCTTCTCAATGACAGCATCATGTGTTGTTGCGGTGTCGTTCACAGATCCGTCTGTCGAATTCGGGCCGTCGATCCCTGTCATGTCTCTCTGGCACTCGCGGTATACCGTACCAGCGATATGCGGTAGAACGTTGCGGTTCCTTCACTAGTAAGAGCAATCAAGAGGCACGATGCTGAAACTTCTGCCGTATGTGTGCAAAAAAATTCTCAAATAAAAATGCACTTTGAAGTTGTGCCGGGAGCGTGCGCATACTGCTGTAAACCTGCGGCAGTCTTTCGTCTGTGTATGCGTTGTCGTTACAACAGCAGTGCCGGCTTGCATAACAATGCATACGATAGATGACCTACTGTAATTAGTTACCGCCGCTATGTTCGCCACTTTCTTTTTTGGTTGGGGATGTTTTGTTTTGATTTGGGTGTTTTATTTCCAGTTTTGGGGAATACCATGTACAGCAGCACAATGCATCTGGTAGCACACACGGCAGCGGTGAATGTGCAAAAGATGACCTCAAAAACCGCCATGTCGGGCCGGTTGCCAACACGGAAGCCATTGTTAAGGTTTATGGGGCTAACCCGTTTTTAAGTAGCCGGCGCTGTCATCGCACACACGCGACCAAGGGCGTAGCGGAGAGGAGGTCGCGCGGCGGGCGAAAAAGAGAGCCATGTTGCAGAATACGAGTCTGTATATAGACCTTGTTCTGAAGTCCACAGGCCCCCGAAAACATTCATTGGGTTCGATCGGCAGTACCAGAACTTTCAGGCTTCTTACCCACTCGACACAAGCTTCCTGGCCCAAAAGAAAAGGCGGTCCAACCAAACGCGTTGGGGATACGGTGTCGTGGCCTTATCCCCAACACGTTTACAAGTAGTTGGACCATCCTGTCTTTTACGCCAGCAGTTCTTTGCCGAATAGGGAAGGAAGGCTGGCGGTTCTGGTACATACTCCGGGTCGAAATACAATACATGTTTCGGCGGCCTGGCCCGCGGGGAAAAGTTAGTCTAGAGTGGTGGTCAACATGGCTCTCTCCGCGTGCCGCGGAACCTCCTGTCCACTACCCCCCATTGGTTGTGTGCGACAAGAGCAGCCAGGAGATGGAGCAAGGCCAGTTCCGGCTCTCGCTGTCGTGTACTCATATGCATGAACGGGTATTGCTGGATGTGGGACTTGTCGTTCTTGAAGGCAAAATGGAAATTCGAAAACCGTAGACTTGTCAAGAACATGCAGGTATATACACGAAGAGTAGGTGTTTGGAAGGATAAGGCCTCTACGGGAAGGCGGGTCCGTTTAACGGTTCAGGTCGGATCAGATGACGTCATGACCTTGGCTGGACGAAATCTCGTGGGCCAGGCAGGACATGCCATGGCGTGATCTGGATGATGTCGCAAGGCACCAGCTCAGGTCAATGATGTCTCCTGTGGCATCATGCAGTGTGCAGATGCGTGGCCCGTGGAGAGACCCTTGCAAAAATCGCGCGGGAAACGGTTTGTACGTGGCATGACGAAAACTACTTAAAATGTGAATGCTTCACCTCTGTCTCAGAGTCTACAGCAGCTTGTGTGTTCACCGTGCTACGGGTTCGTGCTCCACTCCAGGCTATTTCCATTTTCGGGAGCAGAGTGCAACCGCGAGCGAGCCGCTTTCCGAAAAGATGACACAAAGAACACAGCAAGCCAGAGACGTGTGCACGGCAGCACAACTCTCGCGCGATGTACAGTGTCCCAACTGTCGCCTAATTAGATTGGATACTACCGGAGTAGTGTGGGAAGTCAGAAAGTGTCATCTCTCGCGGCAGCTCGAGCTCGAAAACAGCCTTGCGCTAGCGCACGTCGTCCACGGCCATGCACGTCGAAACGGCAATGATGCTCGTCATCGATGGATATTTCCCACTCTCGTTGTTGTCTATCTACACCCAATAACTTCGTTTTGTCTTCGCGCCACACGTATGTTTCTGTGTGTTCGGCCTCAACGACACTCAGGAGTTCGCTGAGGCGAACTGGGACGAGACTGCAGAGGACCAGGAAGACCTTCAGCAGTGGCAGGTAACGCACGGTAACGGTAACCAACTCAATGCTGCCGTCATTTCGAGAGAAAAAAGAGGTACAGTAGCCTAGGGTAAGATCGCCCATTAGCCGGGACGCGGAAGGGCGCATGTCGTTGTCCTTCCTCCCGGTTGTGAAGAAGAAAAGCTTGGTGACGCCGGCGGCCGGCACGGAATTCAAAACGCTTTCGTGCGAAAAAACGAAACAAAAAAATGTAGGATTCTCCGCAGCGCAAGACCGCTTTCCGGGGGCGGAATGCTTTGCTGCGTGGCGTTCCAAGAATTAGAAATGGCGGCAGTTCGCTGGGTAATGGTAGCAGAAGTATCCCCGGGCCTAAGGGATATCATGGACTTGTAACCACCTCAATTTATTGATGCCCGTAGGTCAGCGAAAGAGATCCCTTGGTCACCTCCGACTTGAGTGAAACCCATCGTGTCGTTGGTCTGAATATAGCAACCCGGCTTCCTTCCTAAGCGAGATTGACAATGGCCGCTCCCTGAAAACATAAAAGCGTCACGTATCACGTCGTGCTCCCTTTAACCGCCATAATCCTGTTCCTCCTCCCCACCATGTTTTACGGTGTGTACTACTACAACAATGCTTTGTTTGTTTTTCACAAAGGACGACTGGGACGACGATGACATGGACGATGACTTCTGCAACCAGCTGAGAGCGGAGCTCGAGAAGACGAAGCCGCCGGCAAAAGGCCAAGCAAAACCACAACAGTCGTGAAACTGAAGGGAAAGAGCCCGAGAGAACTGCCGCTGCATGCCTCTTGTCCGGCCGAGCCGAGCCTGTCTTATTTTTTCTTTTCTGTCGTTGTGTGCATACGGTATTGACAAGATGGTGATTTTTTTTTGTAGTTGTGTTTTAAACTGATTTTCCTTTTATCGTGCCACGGTCTTAGGGTCCGGCGGTAGACATGAGCGCACAGGCCACTTTTACCGGAACCGGCGCGAAGACAAACACCAAGATACCTCAGTCGAAGACAATTGAGCCCCTTCCTGCGGCCGCTAGAATATTGCGGTGTGTACCGCGGCGCGCGATCCGCACGGCATTTATCGGGGTTTGGGGTATTCACAACCGACATTACACCCTGATATCGCAGCTCGAACCTTACGCGAAGATGGGGTGTCTAATACATGCCCCCACACCCCATTATCCATCCGTCCACATGGTGGGCGCCGTTGCGGAGTCATTATGAGTCGAATTGTGCGTGTCGCACCATGCGCAAATATCGATACATCGGTTCTGCGTGGTTCCGAGTGCATCCGTTTTGTTCCACCATCTGTCCGAAGTGCGTTTTAGTGCGCCTCGAGGGCCCCTCCTGTGCTGTAGATTCAACAAGCCTTCTCATGCTGCTGCCTCGCTGCTCCTGCAAGAGTCTGAAAGACGCGTGTATGCCGCATCCAAGGGCAACGTGTTGAAGGATGCGCAAAATATCCCGCACCCCGCATCAGAGAGTCACGCGGAATTGGACCAGCTATTATTAGCTGTGGCGGAACTCGTACGACCATACGTGGCTGGCAAGAAGTAGTTGTTTTTCTCCCGCTCTCACGTTAGTGGGGGAGCCCCCCTTCTGTGCTGCAGCACCTACGACTCTCACGTTGGTGCGCACACGAGCTCCGATTTGCCGATGCCCTGTCGGGGCAAGTCGTGTTGTTCTGTCCGAAGTTTTACTTCGCCTTTGCCAAAACAAGGATGGAAGCTTGGAAATTGTACGCTCTGTGCAGCGGTAGCCGCGTGCGGAGAACTGGACATACTCCTACCACCGACCGAGGTCCTTTGTCGACACAGTGGCATGATGCATTTTTGCGGAATCGCGTGGCCCCCCTTGCGATACCGCGGAGACTTTGGTGATGGCAATTTCTCGAAGGATGAACAACTTGCACAAAGTTCACTTTCGAAGGAAAAACATTACCGTGTCAAGTGTTCGTGTCTTCCCGCTGAGGATACTTCGAGCATCTCCAAACTCAAGCACTTCATTGTACATGTCCAGCCCGTGCCAGACCACGTTCCTCTCGTGGAACCTTCAAACAACGATCACATGAACACCGCCTCATCACAAGAAAAATGCTACCATATCTCTCTCTTCAATATATACACAGCGAATGGAAGCATGTGCAATCCTCCAAACACACGACACGCGTAGCTCTCACTCCGTGCCTGTGAACGCAACCTTTCAGAGCGAGTCGAGGAAGCCGGGCGAGCTCCCGCTCCCGCCTTTGGAAGATGACGCCGTCTCTGAGGAAGAGGGCTCGGCGAGATCCAAGCCCTCCAGCTGACGATCCAAGCCCTCTATCAATCGGCTCAACCCGAGGTGACCCCCGAGCAAGTGGATCCCTTCGGCGATGCTATCCTTGAGGGACACCAGCCGATGTCTCGTGTACACGAAAGAACCCTGGGAAGGAGGGAGGGAAGGCGGGGGGGTGTTGCTATGTCGTCGTCAGTTGATCCTTGAGTAAGTATCGTTGGAGAGATGGGAACCCCGCGCACTGTTGTACTGCTGCTTAAGACACTGCTCTACACTCGGCGCTATGTGCGGAGGTTTTTGCCACATTGTTCACAAGACAGCAGTCTCGTGCTATGTATCCCCTTCAACTCTGTTATACGTGCTTTGGCGCGAGGAACAGAGGCACTACTCCGTTGACCGGGGGGAAGCAGGGCAGATGGGGGGGAGCGGGCGAACCGTACGCAACTCCAAGAGATGGATACTTCCTTTGACGTCTTCCAAACGAAATTGATACCCGAACAAATCTTGCAAACCAATATATCATCCGGACCAGAATATACAAATACATGTATACGGGCGCAGCCCTGGCCAATGCAAAGCGACTCCGAATCCGCTGAGTGGTGTATGAAAGAAATATACGATCGGCCGACGAAATAATTATTTCTCACAACGATCGCCGCTAGTCAGCCAAACATCTCTACCCCCCGCCTCTGCGGCCCCCAAAACACCGGCCACGTTGCCGGCCAGGCTTTCGTTGCCGCGAAGGCTTTTGCACACTCTAGAAGAATGGGGCACACCCTGGGCTTTAGTTTCTACCGCGCTTCGGTCAGGGTTCACTTTGTCCTTGTTGAGGTTCCCACCGCCTGCTTCATCCACTCGACCGCGTGCTTCTTCACATCCACGTCTTCTGTCCTCTGCTTGAGGATATTCAGTAGCCGATGATCGTTCGGCTTGGCCCTCACACAGTGGATGATCGGAAAAGAAAACTTCCCCTCCTTTGTTGGTTGAAGCAGCGGCGACAAGCACATTGCACGGCACGGTTCCAGACAGAGGGAGGGGACCGGGGGTCATGACAACGTTTCACGGAGATAAAAACCCACCAACATTTCCGAACGAAAATCTTGCAACACCAACGGAGCCGATGTAGCAGCAAAAAAACACAACACTTCAGATGCAGCAACAGAGACATTCGTGGGTGCTGACTGCTGCTGCTGCGGTGCCCACCTATGCCTCATTCTACGCCATTTCCTAGTAATATGAGGATCGCGTAAGGGGAATCACTACGTTTACGGGTCGTGTCCGCCCGCATCGTGTTGAGCGGAGAGTGCCGAGTACCAACAAAACAATAAGGCGAGGTATTCCCGTTAAAAACAACTCCGGGTATTCCCGCTGACGCAAGCTGGCACGGCTTGGTACAGTACCTTAATCTCACCGTCAAGTCCTCGCAGAAGCTCTTGCCCTTCATGTACTCGGGGCTGGAGAGGTTGATGAGGTCGTCCCTAATCTGGAAGTACAGGGCCATCTGATCGAGCAGCGGGGTGTAGTTTCGCTGGTCTTGGCTGAAGGCCTGCATCAGACCCACCGCAAGTCGGAACAGCCCTCCGGTCTCTGGTTGTGTGCGTGCATCATTCGGGGGCGCCGTCGATGAAGCGCAGTGAGGGAGGCGGGCGCGCAGGCAGGCGATAGTATTAGAACCGACGGTACCGAAAATGAGGATGGGCACAGCCTGGGTATTGCCATGAAATCGATGGTATCTTCAAAGAGGGAGATACGATTGAGCTTGTAAGCTCGGACGGGTGACAGGTGAGCTCAGAAAGCGCCGACTGAAGGAAGGACGACGACTTGTTGCACCCTCCGCTGGCGGTGTGTGGGTTGGATACCTACACAGGAAAGCAATTTGCAGTTTCAACAAGAATGATATTTGCTTCTGGCGACAACGAGGTCATTAAACTCGCGGCTCGCGCATCACGCTAACAACACGCGCATGGCAGAAAATCAGACGCGAAACAACCGAACAAACCCGAAAGACCGGCGACAACACACAGCCATATTGCAAGTAGTCGCCATCTGTGGCGGGATTTCCATAACGTCGAACCGACTTGATCCCTGTTGAACCAAGGCACCGCAGCACACCGTGTGCGAACAACGAACGGCTCTCGTGAATAACCAGGATAACCGTGGGGGGGGAGGAGGGGCAGCGGTGCTCAAAACAGCGCCAAACAATGGCACCCGAGAAAGGAGTACGGGCGTGCCGCCGCCGCCGGCGATGGCGCTCTCACTGTCAAGAACCATGGACTCGTACTCCCCCTCCGTCGGACACCGGTTGGAGTCTCGCCAAAAGATGTCTCTCCCCTGCCCTCGGTGAAGGTTGAGCTGCTCGTGGACGAAGGTCTCCAGAGCCCGCGAGTTGCCCAAGGCGTGCGTCCGCTCCAAAGCCTGCGCCAAAGTACGAAACGATAGGAGACACGTCGATACGTATTAATCGTGCTTGTCAAGCACAAAACCGACAGGACACTTGACCGTACGACATGCCTGTCCAAGAACACCGGACAGTTTGTTTTGGAATGTCGTGCGTGCCAGCAGCTCTCTACGTATGGCTGCCCGCACCTGGGTCAGCGCAAACGACATGGATTTCGGGCTATTCGCACACACTTTACTCTGGTTCAAATAGCGATGGGATATCCTCCTGCTACAACTAGTGCAAGGGACAAAAAATATTAGGGCGGCTTCCGGCAAACGCCACGCTGGTCAGCAGTACGCGGTAACATGACAAATATAGCAATCTGGTCGTTGAAAGAAAAGCAAAGAGGGCGTTCGTGAGCCGGAAGGAACGACAAACATATCTGCCTGTTATGCCTTCACTTGACTCACACACCGATAAAAAAAGCAAAACGAAGAACGGTTCAAGACGGCATCCGCAATCAAAGGAAAGCCACAGGTATCGTACACACAGGGTCGTCGTTCTCGTTCTTATAGCTTGTCGCAGGAACGACCTCAAGTCTGTTGCACCACGGTTAGTGCAGACTACAGAGCACAGCAGAACATTTCGGATAGCCGGCTCGCCTGAAAGTACACGTAGTTGGCGGTGTTGATCGTTGAGGCTACACCATAGATGGAATGCGCCACCGGTACTCCTCTTCGCAGCTTGGAGTTGTCTTCGATATCATCCACGCTGTGCGTGCGTTTTGCCAAGGGGACGACAACCGGTTGTGCTTAGGGGTACAACTGTAGTAGGCAGAAAAAGCAGAGTGCGCGTCGAGTGTTGCGCATTTCTTGAATCGAAATCCCAATGCAGCAGAACAAGGGTAGAGGCCAAAAGTAGCGGTGGGTCTGAAAGAATCGAGAGTTTTTGCCGACCAAAACTAAACCTCTGCTTTCGACGTATTTTTGTTCCATTCCTGCGACGAATAGGAAAGCGTTTACCCTTCACTCATTTAGCAAGTGTATCGGTTCTTGCTTTGTTGTGGAACGCAAAAAATGTGCCCGTGTACTTTCAGTGACGAGCGCTGGCCGACTCGCTCTATGGTCGTGTGGGTAACGCTCCCAACGCTTGAGCACTTGGATTTTGCACTACATGTCTGACACGCGAAACGAATGGGTTCATCATCACTATTTTCGTCTCATCATGGCGATTGGATGTATGAATGAGCTCCGCGAAATTGAAGACACGAAAGATGACTACTGTACCGCACGAATGGGTTCATCATCACTATTTTCGTCTCATCATGGCGATTGGATGTATGAATGAGCTCCGCGAAATTGAAGACACGAAAGATGACTACTGTACCGCACGAATGGGTTCATCATCACTATTTTCGTCTCATCATGGCGATTGGATGTATGAATGAGCTCCGCAAAATTGAAGACACGAAAGATGACTACTGTACCGCACGCACGACGGCGGAAGAGGTTGACGCGCGCGGATCGCAATGCTCCTCCCTGCCCTTGTTGGCTGCGGACCGACGGTGCTCAGGCGAGCACATCGCGCACACAACGTCTATTCGCAGCAGACCCATAATGCTACCGACTTCACCGCAAACATTACACGAGAGGAGCCTACCGCCTTCACAGCTACTGCTGTTGTTGCTGCTGCTTGTTGTTTGGGTTGTGTACTCACAGTAGGCTGGCGTTGTGAAGCATTCCCACTACCTCCTTTATCGCGTCGATTCTTTCCGCCGGAATGTCCAGCCAAATCTGCGACAAGAACGCGGAAATCGAACCGTGTTTGTTCGTTCAATGGAACGGCAACAATATTGAGGAAACGGCCAGAGCGTTGGCACAGCGAGTCAGCAGCGCAGAGACAGGCTGGCCACAACCATACGAGCATTATACTCTCCTAGGCCTTTTGGCAGTGTGGGACGCAGGGGAGGGGACAGGGGTGATTCTACAGCAAATACAGCAAAACGATAGATCCGTGTGTTTCGCACACTGCAAGCGCTGCTATTTGCCATGGCACTGCAAAGACCAAGGTGAAATATGCTTCTGCTGCCCCATCCCGAAAAGTCCCGAGAACAAACTAAAATGAAATAATGAAATCGAGCGACTCTTGGCGCCCCTTGGGACACCTTTTTCAGAGCACACCCCGCGCTAACGGTACGTAAGAGGGAGCGTAAATAACAAGGGAACAATGGGTTCGACACACTTCGAAACCTCGTGGTTCCACGCTTCACTATCCCTGCGCCTTTCCCGACATCGCCCCGGCCCGGGTGTTGAAAACATGGTATAATATTGGTTGCTTGCCTGGAACGCGTCGATTAGCTTGCCCCTGACATCCTTGCCGGGGACTTGGTTGATGTAGTGGAACGGCTCCATGATATCCTGAACATGCATCGGTGCGCACGGGAAGTCAGAGAGAGAGGGACCCGAAGGCAGGCGAGCACGCAACGTCAGCGCCGCCGAGGTTCGTGAGAATACAGCCTGGTATCTGCTAGAGATAGTCTCCACTGTGCTCAAACAATGTGGGTCCTGCCATAACAGCAACGGGGCGACGGTGTAGATGCGACGTACACCCCATACGGGGGTGAAGCCTTCGGCGTACCATCACAACAGCCGTAGGTTGCTGGGTCGGTGCGAACGGAGGTGGGGGTTCAAAGTACATCCATTCTTCTTTGGTGTGGCCACACTAGCGGCATTTTTGTTGCCATCGATTTAGCAATCTCAGAAGCTAGTTGTACTACTCCCCGGGCCATCGTCAAAAGGTGTATGCCCATACAAGCGCAATGCATAGACCGTGGAATTGTGGATGGAACACGACTGCTGTGGAACTGCCTCTCTCTCCTCAAACCAACAGTGAGAACCATCTAAAAAGTTCCCCCGCAGCCGCCGTCCTGAAATCTCACCTGGTCCACCTCATGGCCGCGAGGAGGAGATCCTGCAGTCGTTTCATCTGTAGGAGCATCCATGAATCTCTTGTGGCAGGGGAGTGGCGCAGGTGTTTCGCGTTACGCGTTGCGTGTGGTTCTGAAGAACCCGCGGACCTGCTTGTGCCCTTGCATTGTTGGGCCGCATCAATTGTCCCGAAGGGCGGAACCTGAACCGCTTATTTACACGCTTCGCGAACCTCGTTGAAAACCCCGGAATCCGGCCGCTCGCTCGAAGCACTCCAACAAAGCGAAGCTGTCCCCGTCGCTGAAGCTCGTTTTCCACCCAACACACATCCGTGGCCATGTTCTGATTCGGTGTGCACCGCTGTGTGCACGCGCCGTGTGAAGACAGGGAACGAGAGCGACTTGCTTAAGATTTCGGTCGGTGGGGAGTCGTTGAACACTTGCCAGAGGATATATAGTCTACACATCAGCCGCTCTGCCTCGCTGGCTCGAAGCAAGAGCGATTGCTGGCGAGGCCGGTAGGTGCTGTGGGGAAAGGAGGAGGGAGGAGGCAGGCGCTACGGGTACTAAGTTATCTGATTGAGCAAGACTCCAGACTTTACATCTCTCTGGCACGGCGTCTACCTTAAGAGCATAGGGCTGAAGCTCGCGGAACACGAGACTCATGTTTCGAAGAGCCATGTGCATACGACAACCCACCTGGCATGGGCGCGTCTCCATCTTGCGGTGGCCAGCTACATCTCCCGCCAAGCCGTCTAGCGCAGCAAGAAGAGCAGCGACCGTACCAGCAGATGTGGCTGACGCCAGCGGCAGCAGTGACTGTTCTGGTGGACAACCACCGCCTGCCGCCGACCCCGCCGAGACGATCCGGTTGAGCAAGGCGAGTTGTGCCGCTCCTGCTGCTGCCGCTCCTGCTGCTGCTGCTGCTGCTGCTGCTGCTACTGGTGGTGGTGGTGGTGTTGCAGCCACCGAATCAACTCAGAGTAGTGCTGGTAGTGATAGTTCTGCATCGACAACACTCGTTTTTGGGGTGTCAGAGGCTGACGCGGGCGACGTGAGGTGCAAGCGGCGCTACTGGGCCGAAGATAATGCGGGGGAAGCGAGCTGCGTGGGGTTTGTCGCGGAACCCCGTCCGCCACTTCGCATCGAGGTGGGTCAAGCGGAACGATCTAGAATATCACTCTCACCACATACACGACTAGACTCGTCTGCTGTTGCCGTTGCTGTTGCTTTCGGCTCTTCGTATTGGGGGCGCTCAGTCTAACCTTGTCGGTCGTATTGCCATAGTTGCCAACACAGCAGTTTACGATATGGAATTTGAGGCCGTTCAGGTAAGTCTTGGGTTGGATGGGCGCCGAGTGGCCGTGCAGCGGACTCCGCGTGACCTGAGAACGGGGCAGCGGTGTTGTTCTACTCAACCAGTACACGCTTGACTTCGCCAGGCAAACCAGATAGCGGATTCAGTCCCAGTCAGACAGTCTATCCCGCTCCCCTGTTGGTCGGAGAATGAAACAGTTGAACACCGTCGAGACGCACGCGCTACAGTACCACCCCCACTTCCCACGCCTGCCTGCTGTGTGTTGGAGCATCTTCTACAGTAGGAACCACTGCTCAACGTTACCGTTGCACGGTCTGTCGCGCGCCCCCTCTGCCCCCCGTGAAGGCGAAGGCTGTCCGCAAAGCGGAGGCGATGCTGGGCCTCGTGCTTCCTAGCGGGTTTCCGGGCTCCGTGCACCCTCCGTACATGGCGTACGCAGGCTGGCAGTTTACGGGCATGGCGGCTTCCGCTGCTGCGGGGGTGATGTCAACGCAAGCCCTGGTTCGTAGTTGTTGCGGTTCTGGCGTTCGGCTCGAAGCATTCCCTCGAGATGGGCAGCAGCAGAGCACAACATCTGCCTGACCGACTACGGTAACTGCCCGTCGTTTTGATATGAGAGCAGTCGCTTGCAAACAAGAACGACCACGAAAACACGATCATTGAACCGTGACACAAAAACCGCGCCGTCTCCTCTACACTTGCCCGTCGCTGCTGGCAGCTCTACGCGATGGGGGTTGGTGTCGGCGCCCTTCCGCTAGCCGCAACGCTGAACTGGGTGATAAAGGATGGCCTCGGACAGCTGGGCGGGGTGGCGTTCTCGAGTCTAGTCAGTACACGTTTCGACGCGAATCCAAAGCTGTGGTAAGTGGATGAGCCCCCTTGATTTTCCGGCAAAAACGGCCCCCATTGGGGAACGTTTTGCGATCTGGCTCGTTTTTGGGCCGGCATGGGCAACAATTTTTCAGAATTTCCGTGTTGTTGCTATTGCTGTTTCGCCTTTTGATGCTAGGATAGACATGATGCTCCCGTTCGGAGACAGTGTCCAGGTACAAGATATCCAATACCACAAAAGCGCACGTTGACAAAGGAGAACGAGGTTGGGGAATCGTTTTGGACTCGAGCTCCTCTCTACACGTAGCACCTTGGATGACCGCCACGCCTCGGCTGGTGTTCTCGACCAGCAGTTGACATATGTTACCAAAGCTGTAGGAAACCTTTTGGGTGACAAGCCTGTGTTTGTTGATCGCTCTTATGGGTTGGAGTTCCGGAAATATTGTACACGATCCTCCCGCCTCCCCATCCTCTTCGATCCCGTCCTGTTGCCCTCTGCCGTGCCGCCGTCGCGTGATACTGACCTGTGTGGTTGTGCTCGCAACCGTTGCCGATGTTCCCAGGAGAATCGTTGCTGCGGTTTCCCTCGACGCTTCCATGGTGTTGGAACTCTTGTCCCCGCTCGCTCCGGCGTACTTCTTGCCAATCGCATCCGTCGCCAACATCGGTAGGTGCCCGCTGCGTGCGTACGAAAAAATAAGGAACTCTGTGTACACACATGTATACCACAGCATGTGTGCGCAGGGGATGGTTTGATCCTTGCCGTACGAACGCGGCACTCGCGCTTGTGTAACGTTTTTCAGCGTGGATGCAATACACGCTCGTTCGTGTGGCGGCGGGGGCAAATACTGTTCGTTGCGTCTGCACTTCGCCGCGTAGGACCTCGAAACGACTCCTCCCCCAGCCGCTCTGGTTTTTTCTCACGTGTCAGCTCCACGGCCACCCCCTGCGCGCCCTTGGTCTCTGCGATCCTTTATCATCCGGGGGACGTTTGCCTTCTCGACAGGGAAGAACGTGTCGTTCTTAGCCGCGTCGGCGAGCCGCGCGGCCATCCACAACGTTCTCTCCTTGAAGGGAAACCTGGCGGACGTTACTGCCAAGTCGGGCGCGCAGACCATCCTCGCGTGCATGGCGGGCACCGGGGCGGGCGTCGCGCTGTCGGCGTCTCTGGGCTCGGAGTTCCACGCCATCGTCCCGGCGTGCCTGTGCCTGTCCGTCGTGCACCTAGGGGCCAACCACATGTCCATGCGGCGGCTCGGCATACCGACCTTCGATCATCAGGTACCGTGTGTGACCGTGTGTTAAGCCCTGCATGTGAGAGTGTTTGTTTTCCTTGCCTTCGCTCCTTCTAGAGACACAATTGTCATTTCGCTTTTTTGAAACTCGAAGCGGGGTACCGTTCCAGAAATGGCCCTCACTTCACATCCGCCTATTTTGCTCAACCGTCGCGCTTTGTATATTCTGCGGGGAAACTCCTAGGGAACATGTAGGTCAGTGTGAAAGCCGATCCCTCACGTTCTTGATGATCTGTTTTTCAAGTGAGGGCCATTGCACTACCTTGCGGGGTAGAATCGGACCGCCTCCAAATATTGAGTGCTATGCTTGATGGGGGTCTGCCCTGTTTCATGCGCTAAACAGAAAGTCAGTGGTTTGCTTACCCTTCATATCTTGTGCAACTCTTTTGTGAACATATACCACAATTCTTTCCCAGCAACATTTCAATAATTATTTCGCCGTTCGAGCGGGATACATGTAGATCATGGGACGCGCGAACACCGTAGAGGATTCAGCGTGTGTTTCGCAGCGTTTCTTTCTGGTTATGCGCCTGCTTCTCGTTGCTCCGGACATGATGACCCGGAACGGACGGTCCTCTTTTACCCAACGAACGCAACACCGCTGTACACCGTTTCCCTGCCATGCCTCCTGCCCCGTTCTTATTTGCGTCAGCGGCTAGAGCTGGTAGTCAACGCCATGGCCGACGGCGACAGGAGCCGCGGCATACCCAGTCCTCAAGACATAGCGGGTGAGGTAGAAACACCAGTAGGGTGGTGGTGAGAAGGCGGGCGCATGTTGTGCTGGTTCCGAGCCCCTCTTTTCGTATCGATGGCGGGGGTGCTTGTCTCACCTGGCTTAGTGCTTCCTCTGTTGAAGTGCACGCTGGATTGGGAAACTAGATTCGTTGAGTGGCGTATGGAAGCAGATGCACCCGTCGTCAAACTCGGAGCGTGTCGTGTACCTATCTTTGATCGATATTATTTTGTCATCTCCCATGGTTCTCCTTCCACAAAGGTGTCGTGTAGTGTTGCTTTCCTCGTTCTCTGGTCCCACATTATACTTGTTGTTCGGTGCGCGTCCCGCGCAGAGTGTACAACAGCTCCCCCCCCCCCCCCCCCCCCCCCCCCCCCCCCCCCCCCCCCCCCCCCCCCCCCCC